AATATAATATGAATGGATTAAATTTAACAAATTTTCCAACTGATAAGAATTAGAGAAAAAGAATTACAACATATGTATAACAAATAACTGCAAATTTTTTGGAAATTTATAATTAATATTATTAATAATAATGACAATATTATTATTTAGTAAATAAATAAACGATATCGAAGAGTTCCTTTTGCTTTATAAAATCTAAGCGTGTGAGAGAGAGCCCAGCTTTACATATTTTAGCGAAGAATATAAACTGCATGGCTCGAATACTAATGGCACACCACAAACGACGCTAGAATTCCAATGAGAGAGCTCTTGATCTCACAACAAGCAAAACTTTCCGAAATCTCCGATTCGAGTAAATTGGCGATCCCTCTCTCGCTCCACGTGCGCGGTAATAAAAGTTGCGCGATGCTCGAATGCTTAATCGTATGGGACGTTGCGTCGCGTCGGGGAAACTCGAGATGCTTTCCTCGAGGCTCGACGCGGGTTAAAGCGGGCGTAATTCCACTCTGAACTCTAAAGTTCCTTTTCTTAAAGTAAAAATGGAGATCGCCCTATCGTTGATCCTGCTGGATGTATCGCGGGGAATATACGCGGTCTTGGCTGAACACCTTCGAAACTTCGATCTTCGACCATTCGCACGTCCCGGATTATCCTGAACGTGATCAAAAGCGCCCACGAATGAGCGTATAATGACACGTCGACGATATGTTATCAAAAGTTCTATTATATTCTATTATTCTATTATTCTACCGTTGCTCGTCCAACCGTTTATTAGTCCAAAACGAGAGTTTTAATCCAAACTCAGTAACTACATCAATTTAACAATAACATCATATCGATGTTATAATTGCAACAACATAAACGCGTTACGTATTATATATGTTACGTATTATATACGTAACAGTTAGATATATTGTTGAATATGAAATAAAATATAATATTGATGTTGGTGTTTATTGAAAACTGATTAAAATAACTGAATAAGGAGACTATTTGAATGAAATTGTGTAAGATGAGAACGAAATTTTGTTTTTGTTTTCCATTCTCGCGCGAGCACTTTCCGATGCGATCTGGTCTTGTCGAAGTAACAACTGCAATCAATGCAATGGCTAATGGCGCAAAATAAAAATAGAAACAAAACGTTAACGTTAAGGCTCGCGCGATGCAAATAAAAAAGTTAATGTTGGTTATGTTCCTTCAAACTGTCCTCAAGGTTTCATAGAGAGTTTGGAACATTAGTGTCTCGCGGCATTTTCCTATCTAAGAGATGTGCAAACGTGCTCGAACCGAAGGTTCATAGACCCGTCAACCAAAAACGCCTTCGAGAACCGTTCGACCAAAAATGTCGCTCGGTCAAGCACGTACAGCAGAGTTAAAAAATCATGTAGACAAGGGCATCGGGAGAAAGGGCAAAAATTATCTATGCAAGTGGGCTTCGACAGACTCTCTCTTCTTTCAGGCAAGCCGATCGTAATTACCTCCAGCTCTTTCAACCTAATTTGCCTCTCGAGGTCATATTTATCGCCCTCGAGTAAGGATAGTCTGTTCCAATATGCCGAACAGATCGTCTGCAGCTCGGCTAAAAGAACAAAAAGTTATTGGAAAAAAAAGAGCAAAATGGAATCCGCTGAATGTGTTTTGTCATCCTTGCCGTCGGCTATCTTAAAAATTCGTTATTATATTATAATTGTTTAGCTTCAAAAATTAAAAAAATGCAGGAATAAAATAACAACTACGGCACTAAAGATATAAAATTGAAAACGGCTGTTTCCAATTCATTGATATATCGGATAGGGTAAGAATGATAACAACTTTTTTAATTTAATTTGTTATCATTTTTAACATATCAGTATCAATAAATTGTTCCATTGTTTTAATTAATTTTTTTTTTTAAACTATGATGTTCAAAAATGTGATGAAAAATAATGCACGTGACGCCCTGCGATTTTCTGTGATGATTTATATTATTACTACTAAGAGGATTATTTGTGAGGGAATGTAATTATCACGGGGAGAATAGAAAAGAAATGAGTCTTTCGCGTTGGAAGCGAGAAGCACGAAGCTGACAATTGCGTGATCGTTAACCTATCACGGAATGCAAGTGGGAGATGAGAGAAATTCGACGAAAGGAAATGAGCGGGTGAAAAATATAGGAACTGGTAAGAGTGTGAGTCTAGTAGTGCGGAATCGTAAGTATAAAGTGAAGAAAGTTCTTTCTAGTAGAGAATTTCTACTACATTGCGAGAAATCAACGTTACTGAGACAGATCTACATTGAGCGATTCTACGAGTCGCGAAGGGTGCTACGTTAGGAGCTGCTGCTAAGAAAATACTCAGCCTCGATGTCTACGCCTAATATTATTACAGACAGCTTATGAGTATGCAAATCGGAACAGTCGCTAGAAATAGTGAAATGTGCTTCGCGCGTGAAAAAAAAGTAAGAAGAAAAAAGATGACTAGAGGATAAAGAGTATTGGCGTTAATCGCAGCTCATCTTGTTTGCAAAAAAAATCTTTTTTTCGACCTCCAAATCCTTCCTGGCGACTTCGTACTCAAGGTCGTACTTCTCCCCCTCGAGAATGTTGATCCTCTTATGATACTGGGTCAGAATGGACTTCACACTAGCTGTTAAAATTCAAGTCACTCCTTAAAAAAATGCTCGCGACTTAACCATTTACGTCGTAGATATCGATGTAAATATCGCTACATACATTCAGAAACATAGTAGTAGCAACTATATAGACGATAATTATACAAGTAGTTTTATATTTAGAATTAAGGTACAGTTGTAATAATTATGAAATAATTTATTCAACTGTGCATATTAATTCTATATATAAAATTTGGATGAATATTTAAAACAGGGGAAGCAGAATGAGCGACAGTTAAAACCTATTGAAGGTTATTGGGGACCTCATGACTTTGCAACATATGTCAAGATTAAGAGTCATTGGAGTTACTTCCCTGTTCGAAATATTTATCAAAATTTGTACAGTTTTCACCTATTGCTACTGTCATGTTTTTTTCTTTGAATACTCTCTAAGTAACGGATATATTGTTGCAATGGATGTATTGTAATTTTTTGCAAAATGTAAAAAAAATATAGCGATAACAATTAAATATATAGATAGTAACTGTACTTTATATTGTGTAGAATTTATGTATTAATAATAGCAATAATTATAATAGTTTATAATTAAATAGTTTATTCAATTAGAGATACATTAATTCTACCTATAAACCTTGTATAATTACCACCTATACAGTTGCCACATCTGTCTTTTTCTCTGAGTGTACTGGAACGGGTACATGTCGTAACTGATGTATTGCATGTAACTTTTCGCGGATAATATATACGGAGTCCATTTCGTGTGTATGACTTGAACGGCAGAGGGTGGAAAACGTGAGTTTAAGGGAGGGAGACCGATAATGTGAAAGCTAAGTCGAAATGTTATAAACTGTCGCTGTTTCGCAATGGTGTGAAGAACTGTCTCAAGTTTCTAGCGAACGAAAGCGAGCTCTTAAACCGAACTCTCTTCCAAGAACGATTTCCGAGTGCAGACATCACTATGAAATTTGAAACAATCTTGTCGTCTAGGAGCGATGATACAGATACACATAGATATTCGCGCATTGATCGAAAATAACGGAAGGGAAACAGTGAATATACAATTCTTTGCAAAATGAGAAAAGCATCAGAGTTTCTCGTAAATAATTACAATCACTAGAAAATATTATGGTGTTGTATGAAGCAGTGTATAATAATGTATTATTGTATATTCGGATATACCTAATATACGTGTTCCAAAATCGATGTTATTCTGTTATTTCTGACTTTTTGTGTTTTGCGAAAATAAAGTAAGTAGTGACAAGCCGTATTAATACAATAATCAAGATGCGAATAATCCATAGTGTGTTCTTAAATTGCCATTAAATTTGCCAAAGATTCAAGAACAAAGGATTGAACGGAGAGAGCAGAGAGAGAGAGAGAGAGAGAGAGAGAGAGAGAGAGAGAGAGAGAGAGAGAGAGAGAGAGAGAGACAGAAGACAGTATGAGAAATCGCGCGCACATTAATGCGAAGAAAAACAGATGCTGACAGAATCAAAAGAAATCGACGACAATTTTGTGTTACGTAGAGATAGAACAAAAAGAAAAGAAAAGTATGAATGGAAAAACGGTGCGACGAAAGAATGCGAAGCTCGTGTCTCTTGTCCGGTTACAGAACGAAAACTACGACAAAAGATTCAAGTTTCAGTAAAGAGCAGTTAATCATTCACGGAGTTGCTCGATAACGATTATTTATTGGTTGATGAAAGTAGCCACGATACGTAAGTCGAAGTTGCAATTCCTTTAAAATAAATATGAAAGCTTTTAATTACGATATTTTGTAATCATTGTTATAAGAAATAATTATATAATTGTACAGAGCCAAAAGTATTAGGCATCTATGTTTTTTCATTTATCTGGAATTCTATATTGTTTCCTATTGATTACCAGCATTATAAAGGATCTCGAAATAAAGAATAATTTTCACAGCAAATGCTCTGAATCAATTTTTAAGCTAAAATGTGTTAAATAATTAATACTTGATACTTTTGGCCGAGACTATAGCAAAGATACATATTTTATTATTTCTTTTTTAAAAGTTTTTGAATTATTCCATTTTTTCTTTTCAGGTATCTATAAAAAATTGCTCTACTTTTTTATTATTTGTCATCATTTAGGTGCTATTTTCGAGTGTGCGTTATTGGCGATGGCTAAATATAGCCGGCATGTTATAAAATTATGCAATCCAGCAATCTCGTGGCGATGGTCTCTTTGCCAAAACTCTAATTACATTTTGTCGTCGCTTTACGTAAATGTGCAACCGGGCGGAGATCAGTGCGTTACATAAGTGCAACAACATTGAACATCGTTATTATTACTGTATCATAAGTGCCGCGTTATCATACTGCACGTTGCGGAAAACGTTCTCGCAATTGTTGCTCTCTCGAAAGTACCTCAAAGTCCTTCTTCTTAACAACATATTCGATGTCAAATTTTTTATCCTCCAATGCCGAGATCCTATTGTGGTACTCGCGCAGCACGCGCTTTAGGGTCTCTGTGTAGTTTATTAGAAATAAAATAATGTAAAACAAAATAAAGCGCATGAAAAACGTCACAGTTCGCGTATATTGTCTGAAACGTGTCTCAAGTTATTGTACTTTCTCATGTATACTTTTTTCTATTGGGATCGAAAAATTATTTCAGGGTAGAAAGAATTCTCAGTGATGTGCTAATTAAAGCTTGAAAATCGTATACCAATTATTATACTTTCCTCCGCATGTTCTGCATTTTCGAAAAAAAATTTACTAACTTTTTGTAAAAAAGATTAATAAAGCACGATGGGAAATGGAGTAACATAAAATTTCGACCTTTGAAACTAAAAATTAACACTACGTTTCATTATTGTGACTTAAAATTTTCATATTTTTTTATATAAATGCAATTGTGCTAAAATATAAAAATTATTGCACAGATCACATCTAAGAAATAAAAACGTTTTCTCTTAAAAATCAAATTCTTCAAAATTGTTTCTGTAATTCACACAAATCGACATTGTATTAACATTTCGAATTCATCGTTTCTGTGCAATAATTCTTGCTAATGATTAAAAGTAGAGATAAATCCAAGAGGTAAATTTATAGTTTTATTCAGGACAACGCGAACTTTGTTGTAAAAAATATCTCTGCTAAATATAAATGTATTATAAATGTATTTCGCAGGATTGCGTAATGAAGCAAAATACCTTCGTTGGCTTCGTCGACGATCTTTGGTTTTCCGCAACGTTCCTCGATTATGCGCCTCCTTTCGGCCGCTTTTCTTTCCTGTTCCTTCTTCAATTCCTCGGCGGCTTTCTTACGCAACAGCAACTGTAAATATATGAAAAATTCGTGAGATTCGACTCAATAGGAAGAAAAAATATTTCGTAAGACGAGAGAGAAGTTTCTCCAGGAAAATGTACTCTGAAATATTTACAGGATCCACCAATGAATCGATTTTTAACTGCGTGAAATTGATATAATTTAAATGGAAATTAAATTTGTATATTCAATAGTATACTAGGCTATATAAACCGTATGTGTGAACAATTTAACCCATATGCAATGAAGTGGATTATTGTTACGTTTATTTAATATAATATATTAAATATAATATATTATATATATATATAAAATGCCTTATAAATATATAAATTGCCTATTATACGTCCACATTATCAATTAATTACATATGGTTATTAAAACAAATAGATTTAAATGCAATATAATTAATCTTTGTGTCTATATAAATATGTACCGTACAATAACAGAAAGGTGAAACGGAAGTAAATTCATACACGCTAAACTCACAATGCTCGAGAGAAATACCATTCGTGGTTTACTCACGAAATAATTTAAGCTCGCGACTAACGCCTTTCTCTCTTTCGGTCAACGGCGAGATAACGTCGCGTCGGTTGGTATTCGACGGGGTAGCAAATATTGACGCAACGAAAGGAAGGAAGGAAGGAATTAAGGAAGGTGGATTTACGAGAAAATAACATGCCGGCGCGGCGCGCGCGGGATCAGCAAACGCAAGAAGATTCTTCGAGAGGTAATCTACATACACATACGGAAACTTTACGTACTGCGACTGCGAATGTTCACGACGATGCATGAAGAGAAACCAGAGAAGGAGAGATACATGGATGTTCTGTAGAATGTTGGCGACGATGGATACAGAATGGCGAACGTAAGGCGGGACCATAAAGTAAAGGTAAAAAGGCGAGATAAAACTTGAGAAGTTTCGGACGCTCCGCCGCGCGCTGCTGGGAAACAGAACATTGAAATACGAAGTGGTGGAAGCGGGGAGAATAAGAGAAAGTAATACAGAAATGGATGTGGCCGTTACGAGAAATATTTCGCGAGAAAATCGGCGCACAAAGGGTGCAGAAGATGATTACCGCGATATTGCTCAGCGGCTCGAACAACGCAGGAGGAGATTATAGCGTGCGATGAGGCAATCGAGTCAAGTTAAATCGGGAATGAGATCAACTTACAATTAGTTGTCGATAATAAACATTCGATGTGACAGCAGTATTAATGTAATATAAAACATTTTTGAAAACTTGACGCAGCATTAACGTCTGTTTTATCGTTGACGAGAGAGAGAGAGAGAGAGAGAGAGAGAGAGAGAGAGAGAGAGAGAGAGAGAGAGAGAAATGACGTAAGATTCGCGGTCAGACTTACCGCGATCGAGTTTTTAAAGAGGATATTCCCACGACTTGTGAGAACACACTTGATCGTGCGAACCAAATTCAAAAGGGAAGAAACAAAAAACGGACTTACCCTAAGCTTCTTCTTCCTGTCGGGGGTCATAAAACCCTTCTTCGCCTTCTTGGCTTTGGAAGCCTCTTCGAGGCGGGCGCGGACCTCCGCCCTTTTCCTCTCGGTCTCCGCCTGTTTCCTCTTCTTTTCCTGCATTTTTCGTGCGAAACTCCCTTAAAACATCTCATCTGAGAAAGCCCCGAAGCGTCTCATGGAACGCGAATTCGGAAAGTATTGCACAATACGAGCTCTAACATTTTTCGCACCCCCATCCCTCTGCCTAAACTTTCACGAGTCGCAAATGAAAAAGCAAGTGCAGTTACAAAGTAATTAATTTATAGTAATTACTACAATACAAATTTTCTTAAGAAATAAGTATATTAGAAAATTATAAGTAATATAATATATTTTAAAATAATATCAGTTTTTAATCTAATATATTTTAAAAATATACATATTAGAAGAAAAATAAATAAAAAATAACTTTTCTAAACACTCTAACTTTGCCATTATTTACATTTAGGGCTATTAATTATCTCTATGGATATTAAACTTTTTGTTGTATAAAATAAAAACGTAAACAAGAAGTTTTTTCTGTATATTACATATATTCCGAGTCTACTTTAAGGAACGTCTTATTGTTTCTAATTATTTTCACAAAAATAATATAGCTAATTTGAAATATTTGCAATGAGTTTTATTTCGTAATAAAACGAGCGTAAGCCCTGTTCCGATGAAAGGATTTCTTTCATCCGCTTGGTAAGTGGCCGTCCTTTAAGAGGCGACTCTACGTTTCATAGCTAGTTTCTTCTCTTACGTACATCCTCGATGCGCTTTCTCTGCAAAAAAAGAGAAAGAAAAAACATTTCTCGTTAGTATATTCTCTGTGTCATGGATCGCACGTACGACGATATCTAAAACACTTTTTGCAGAGCGCGATCCTTTCGACTGTGAAAAAGGATATTTTTCAACGAGATATTGAAAGAGCGACAGAGTACGAGAGAGTTAGAGAGGAAGAAAAGATTACGCGTTCAGTGTTCCAGATTTCGCCATCAAGGAATACCTTGCAAAGCATTAGCGTAGCGACTGTGTTTTCGCGTGTTTCATGGCGATGCAGAGCTAATGGAGTCTGTCTTAAGTGATATAACTTTGTCGCTGTTAAGCGCTACAACAGCGTACCCAGCGAGCATCTTGTAATATCGTTTTGCGCAAATTGCCGCGTTTTCGCTTATGACATTACGCGCGGCACTTTCGGCCGACCATTAGCTTTGCCTTCTACAAACTGTGCAGATCTTACCAACCGGTGCGATATGTGTTTTTATTAAAAATAAATCATACAAGAAAAGAATAATATATTTTGCTGAAGTCTCTCTGGTTTGAAAATAGCTTTTGACATTAAAATAATTATGTACTTAAGATGCTCAAAATGATTATTCGAATATCAAAACTTTTTGTAATATTATTCATTATACTTAACTTATAATCAGTTATCTGGAGTACTTTTACATCCCAGGAAAGAAATAAGTGAATTGTTGTAAAATATTGTTTTGTATGGGTATTGTTTAACATATCTTTGTTCTAATTTTTTGTTTACAACTCTTTGTCTTTCTCTTTTAATAACTGTTCTTTATAAACTTTTAAATATGCA